ACTCATTAAGAGTAGCGCTGTCAGGTAAGCAAACAAGGTTTTCTTTTTCCTGCTGCTGGAATTCCCTGGCGTGAAATAAAGCCACAACATCATAATTTGTTTAACGCGAGTGGAAGAACATCCATTAGTGAATAGACGTACTTTTGGAGTAGACAGGACTAATTCTGAATATCCTTCATCACGTCGCTGTATAGTCTTCTTTAGAGATGAATCTTATCTCATCTTACGGCACTCAAAGGTTTTGCAATATTTTAGGAAGGGAAATTGTGCAGATTTAACCACAGAAATTATGTTTGACATTTGCATCGTCTAAAACAAACAAGACTTTGTTCACTATTAGAAGATCATCTGGAACCATAATGAAACTATTTAAATGTTGGAAATTGACATGTAAAGCCACTCAGCTCTGCTCTAACCTCTGCACCACCAGCAGATGCAGGTCATGAGTGGGAGTTTTAATGGCCCTCATTCTCATGGCCTCCTAATGCGTTTTGAAAAATGCGACTGACATAAATCTTGGTTGGATCCCTCTCCACACGTGTCCACTAGTGTATCTGGTCATTGTGCTTTCGCAAACAGAGACCAGCAGATAACTGACAGTAACTCCACCACAGTGCCGGGATATGTGCAGCTCTGCTTTACACAGAGAGACCTCACGTCTCTTTGTCCATCCACTTGCTACTGCAGAAGAATATGGACCTTTGGTGGCTTGTCAGTGCCATTCAGACAAAGGACTTCACTCATGGAGCCATTTCAGAGAGGCCCTCCAGATTATCACTCACAATGACTACACAGTGCTTCTCTACTGTGTGACAACACTCATTCTGTCTGTGCCAAAACACACTGACGGAGGCCAGCAGAACTCTCAGCAGATCACAAGGCCACTTGCAGTTTACTTGTAATGGCATCGCAGAGTGACAAGCTTCAGCTGCCAAGAGGTTAGAGTACAAAACATAGAGAGGAAAGACTGCAGAATACATTTATTGGATTTATAACATGTGAACAGCAGCAATGTTGCATATTAGCTGCAGCTTCAGTGGTGTATGCAACGCTTTTAAGCAATCACTGAGTTAGGAGAGGGGCTTTTTTGTGCTTTAGAAAGTGCCAGCTCTGCTTGTAATTAAAGACATTCTCTTACTCACACTGCAAACATTAAGTGTATCAATTGCCCTTATTACTCAGAAAGAACACCAAATACTAAAAACATATTCACTGTTGGATGAATCACTGATGAATCATTTGTTTTTGACATTAAGCTACAAAACCTTTTTAACCCTAAATGCAGTGAGGCTCTGAGTTGGTCCATCACATTGGTTGAGGCTGAAATCACACAGCTACGACATGCAGCAAGACTGAGGTCCAGGTCATGTTTCCCAGAGGATACACGTGTGGTTTTGAGTAGAACAATTCAACAACTGATCATTATGAAATCTGACTCAGACATTTTTTTTTCCACTCAAGATGAAGTTCTAGACCGTTCAGCTTCAAATGTAACCTGCATTTAGAGTTAATTAGTACAAGTAACATTCTAAATGAAGTTAGTAAACATGCAAAAGCTTGATGCACTGCTGTGATTACAGCATACACAATCTCACAATGTCTTTACGAGTATTTCATCAGATTTAAAGGACACATATTAGAACCATAATCTTCAGGGAGCTGACTCACATAAGTGCTACTTTTAACATCAGCAGATTTGCCAGTGCATTTCAGAACAAACAGAGGTGTAATTAAAAAGCATTAAAATGCATCCTTTTTTATTTAAGTGAGTGTTTTGCACACTTGTTCTCTGGAGCAGAAATATAGTTAATTTGACCAATTACACCTGTTTATCCTGCTACTATGTCTCAAAAAGGCTGCTGTGAAAAAAAAAAAGTATCAAAGCTTTTCAATTATTCATTCTGTGAATAAGACTACTGAAAATGAGTGATGGAGCTGAGTTATAAGATAAGATAACCTTTATTTTTACTCAGTTGTATATAGCATTTGTATTCTATTTTTAGCCAGTGTGTGAATGCGTGTGTGAATGGGTGGATGACTGGATATGTAAAGCGCTTTGGGGTCCTTAGGGACTAGTAAAGCGCTATATAAATACAGGCCACTTACCATTTATCTTATTGTATATTTTATTCTATTTTATTCTACTGTATATAGTATTTTATTTCATTCTCTTCTGTACAGTTGTGTACTGTATTTATTCTTATTGTATTCTAATTTTTGCTTCATAACTTTTGCACTGTCCACTTCCTGCTGTGACAAAACAAATTTCCCACGTGTGGGACAAATAAAGGTTATCTTATCTTCTCTTATCTTATCTTATATTGACATTAACCATCCCAGAAGCCAGACACATCGGGCCCCAATCTGAGCTACTTTTGGCGTTTGCAGCTTAGTCACTGCCCGTGGAAATGTTATGTGGGACAGACATGATCCAAATGCACCTAACATTTGGCCCATATAAGGTGGACCTGTGGCAGAGTTACAGCAGTCAGATCCAACCTAAATAAATGCTGCGAGTCAAGACCAAATGCGATCCATGGAAACTGTAGATGTGGGCCTCGTTTTGTCTTATTGGGGGTTATCTTTAGGTTTAATCGACCGTGTGAAATATTTTGACGACATCTTTATGTTAAAAAAATGCATGAGAAAATCTTATGGCAGATTTATGGCACATTAGACATAAAACACTAAAGCTGGAAGTTTTCCCAGACAACTTCCATAATGCTGCAAATTATATTTGACGTATACCTGTCATGGATCGGTACACTGATGAACTTGTCAAGCTCGCTGGTCTTGTCAGTTTTTCTCATCAGCAAGGGAGTTGTGATAAAGTACAAGTGAACGAGGACCCCTGAAGTCTAAGGGAGGCATTACAGGCGGACACATTTGTGAATAGATAATGAAAGCAGGGTGTTCTGAGAAAACCGCTGTGATTGAAGAGCCCTGGAGCTACTGAGAAAAATAAAGAACAACGCACAGTCACTCTTACGAGAGATTTTCTCACCTGAGTCGGAGCCTTAGATTTGGAGGGTTTTGCCATCGCTGTTTGGAGAAAGAATACACATTTGTCACATGCACAGCTGATAAGCAAAGTTAACTATGATGTTTCAGTTCAGATGGAGCTAGTTTAAAGAATCTGAATATGAGACGATAAAAATAACCTGCGACTTCTCATGGTGGTCACAAGGTGCTTGCAGTGACATGCATGTTACCATGACTCCGCAAATCACCTCAGCTGCGTGTTGACCCTTGTCATCACATACTGTCAAATTTATAACATATCATTAAGCTCACATTACGGACTGTACAACATTAAAATGTAGTTTTACGTGCTTGGTAAAATGGAAAATTACATCTGTGGTGGATAAATTCCTCTCTTTTTAAAAAAAATTGTACTTTTCACTATGAAAGACCCATTGTATCCCCTCACATGGGTAACAGCACATAAAAGTGGTAATAAGAACTCCTCCAACCACAAAAAAAGAGCCAGAGCCAACACGAGCTGGCAGTTTCTGGAAAATGTGGATCCTCCCGTCTTGGAAAGGAAACACTGACAATTTACAATTACCGGACTTTGAGGGGGAAAAATGCGTTTCCACTGAGAGAGTAGTAAAAGCGAGCCTGACTTGAACTTAAGAGTCACAGTAAGCAGCCATGTCAGTTGTAAACCTATCACAGGCCTCCACACACCCACAGAGGGTGAAGGGGTGGGGATCAAGGGCCCACCTACCTGCCAGGTACCTCTCCAGAGAGGGCGATGAGCTGTGGTTCCAGCTGTAGCAGCAGAAGGACAAGAACCAGACGAGGAGGGTAGCCAGTACCAGACCTAGGACCCAGAGGAGCCGGGCCACAGCTGGGTTACTGGCAGCCCAGGTTGTTAAGATATCCATGCTGAAGGCTGCTGATCACACTGATTGCCACCAGAAGAGCCTAACTATCTATGCAGTCTAAATCCAGCAGTGTGACAGCAGCAGAGCTCATGAATGTGCTGCAATTGGCCAGTTTGTGTCCTCTCGGGGCAGCCACAGTGCCTACAGCAGCAGCAGCAGCAAACACAGATGGATACCAGCTGTTCCACAAGGAGCCGGCTCAGACCTCAGCCCACGTCAGCTCTGTGTGTGTGTCTGTGTGTGTTCGCTTGTGTCTGTTGTGTTTTACTGAGTCCTGGAAAAGTGTGAGAGTGTGTGTGGGTAAGAAAAACAGTTTGGAGGAGTGGCTAAGAGCTGCAGCAGCAGCTAGCTTCACTGTGAGCCACTCCCTGAACATAAGAAGGGATCCTCACACAAAGTGACTGAAACACCGAGGGTCAACTGAGAAATGCACTCGAGGTGCTTTCACATTTTTCCTTGAATACCTGCCAGCTGAAACTTGTGTAATTGCAGGGTACAGTCACATTCTGACACTAGACGGTGTTATAAATCTTGTGCTGCAGCCGCACTTTCATTTCTTCACACAACATCTAACCTGCACAGTAAAATCCAGATTATCTCTCACCGATAGTAACAAAGCAAGACACAACACACGTTAATTAAATAGATCCAGTCACCCAACCAGTTTTAAATAAACCCACTTCCTTAAATGGAAGTTTCTATAGTAAAGTACTGAAGACTGGTTTAACAGGGCATTTACGCACCGCAAATATTTACTGAGGATGTGCTATCTTGAAGTAGTCATTCAATCTTTAGAAAAAGGTGTGGTTCAACAATAACTGCATGAGCAGAAACAAACAACTCTGCATGTCAGGATTAATAGAAACACACGAACTGAAAATGACCCAAGGCTGCACCTGACACATAACCTTATGAGAGATTTTCCTCTAACAGCAAGTGTAAAAGTTACATGTTTCATTCATTTGTCAGCAAATCATAGAAACTCAAAATTAAAGTCATTGCAGTCTTACAGATGTGCAGCTTTTGAAATGTTACCACTGTCTGCAAACATCAAACGAAAAGTAAACCAACTGTGCCATCTAGTGGCTGAAAGACGACATAAGACATCAATAAAGGGGGGCAGAAATCTTTAATGTAAACTGTCATGTAGGTTTTTAGAGGATTACTTTCAGAGTGCAGGGAAATAAGCTTCATCTTAAAAAACAAATAAAAATAAATCTACTGATAGCAGATTATAAATAGGTTATCATGTAACATCTTGAGTGTCAATAAGCTGCCTCGCTTCATTGCTTTTATTGTTCAATGACAGGCAGTTAAATAAAAACGGTGGATAAACTGACAAATCTGTCAATAAAAAGCTTCAATAACATCCCGAGAGGCTTCCGAATCTTCCTCATGCTCGTTTCAGCTCATGCTCAGTAGAAGCCGGAGTCCTGAGCAGCCCAGTTTGGTGTCTGAGGAAATGACACAAAAAAAAACATCAAAAAGAGAACAAACACAAAGGGCTACTTTGTACAGGTAACAAGAAATTTGTTCCAAATTAGGAACCATCATAATAAAAAATACCTGCCAGCTATTCTGTCAAACTGACTGACAGCTGGGAAAAAAGTTCACATTAAAATAATAAAATCTTACAAAAACTACTGAAGTACTGCAAAAAAGAAAACCAGGAGCCATAATTATAACGAACTGAGACAAATACAATGAGATATGCTCCTGTTTTCCCACATTTATCCATCAGAGGGCAGTAGCACAAAGGAAAAGCATCTGACACATGATTATGCAGGTGAGACACATTTGTATCTTTAAATACAAACACAAACGTTTGCATTTTAAATTGTGTTTTAATTCACTTGTCCCAATGTTTTTTAAAAATGAAATGACAGACGAGTGATCTTGCTCACTGTTGTCCTGCAGATAAAAATCCTGCAGTATTCACTCAGGCTTGAATAAAATACTGAATTGAAATGATGGTTT